CTGTGACAAGAAAACCACACCTAACCCACACACACGTGGACGAAGTTTGAGGACAAAGGATTAGAGCCAGTTATTCATGCAATCACATTACATCAGCTCCTGAGGCCAGAGTCCATTTTAAGTGTAATTAAGATACTGTAAATTACAAACCTCAATTCCAGAATTTCAGAAAACTGAACTGAAAGGACACTACACAGCAGTGCTTCTAAATCCTGCTCCTGGCAGCACACAGCATTGCACATTTCCAAGCATGCCCTGCCTCAACATATCTGATCCAGCTCACCAACTGATTATTGAGCCCTTCGTGAGTTGGATCAGTTGTGCTGGAGCAGGGAATAACTAAAGCTGTGCACTGCTGTGGGTCACCAGGAGTAGGATTAAGAAACACCGCTGTGTAGCATGCTTTTGGTCCAGTTTTCTGCTGGATTCTTTTCACCAGCTTCTTATTCAAATTTTTCGTTCCCTCTTAAATGGTGAAGCAGCATTCCAGCATCTGTATAGGTGCCAGATGTAAGGTGAAACAGAAAATTCTAATAAGAAGCTGTTTATTGTTTATAAGAAAGACATGCTTGATATCTGACGTGTGCTTCTGCAAAACCTCATTTTGTAGCTTTATTATTATTCAAAACACAACTTCCAGCTAACTGTCTTACGGTTATAAAGCCATAGCTATGCTACGGCTTTGATACTTGGGAAGTGACTGAGCAGAACTACGAAATGAGACATTAAGTGAATGTTGAGCTTGTTGCAAAATTTTTTTATCCATGCCGTTTTACTTAACTGTTTAATAACATTAATTTAGAGTTTCAACTTATTTTTAAGCAAATAAGTTAAGATTTCAGCAATTATTTACAGAGATGAGTTTGGTGACAGTCCAAGTCCAGTGTTTGTTAGCAATGCTACTATAGCATCTCCCACTGTAAATTGGAGAAGCACGTTAGATATCAAGCATGTCTTGGCTGATTGACTGCATCTGGGCTAAGTGATGACTCTTTTTAACTAGATTTTTTGCCAAACTGTTTGTTTAACTTCACCTCTGCACCAAAGTCAGGTGCTTGAGGGCACCCACGATGGGAGCAGTGCTGGTGTTTCCTTCGGCATCCACTGTCAAATGCCTCACAACAAACAGGTTTGAGACAACTCGTCATCTCCAGCCTCTTACCGCACATTTTGCACTGAGTATTTTCCTTATCATCTATAATTTAAAGCGCTTCCATGACTTCTCAGGCATCTCTGCATCAACACTTCCAAACACTAAAGAGAATCGAATACCATAACATTTATTTGAATACCTGAGTATTTGATCATTTTCAGGCCAACCCAAAAAAAGCTTTAAAACATAAGTTACCTATACAGAGCAGAGAAAGCACAGCTTTACCAACATTTACAGGACATCAGTTCATCTACAGTACATCATTTCTTCCACTCATTAATCGGTGTGGCCCTCCACTAACTCACTTCCTAAACAGTCACACACACCTGTTCACATACCACAGAGAACTGCAGTGATGAGAATCTATGATGACAGTTATGCTGACACAGGAAAAACAGTTGAATAAGTGAGTTCTTCAAGCGGCCCTTATTCACTTAACCCTTCAGAAAGTGGATCAACAAGATTTTTTTTTATTCAGCAAATTACTCAGGACTACCTGTGATATTTTTCATTCCCAGTGTTAGTTCTAAATATTACAAACATTATCGCCCCAAACGAGATATTTCTCCTTAAAAATCTAACCTTATACTTACAATACCTACCACTAAATCCCTCCATTTTGATGTGAAATTGAGACACATTTCTCCAGTCAAGACAAAGATAGAAGTAAAAAGACAGCAGTCATTGTCTATTATTAATTTGTTAATGTATCTTTCCTCCCTCGCAGTCATTCAGAGTGAGTAAACATAAGTAAAACTAAACACTAAAACAATTAGAACTGATAGGGAACATAAAAGAGCTCATGAGGCCATGCACACACACACACCCCTTACAAGTGCATACCATAAAAAAAATGCATGCTCTAAAGTGAACGAAGGCTGAGAAATCTGAATTATCACTGATGTTCTCCAAGAGATAAGGGCTTAAAATATTAAGAAAAGGCCTTGAGCCACTGGATTATCGGTGGCCTTTAACAAATCCATGTGATTTCATGATATCATTAGCCATCACATATATGACAGATTCATTAACCAAATCAAACTTCAGGTTGTTCTATGCATGCAATGCTTTCATAAAAAAGAGGATGAAACAACCAACAGCTGTCACTGCTGAGGCACGTAGAACGGATTACAAGCTCCCAAATCTGGGAATTTAGCAAAACAGGGACGATGCAATAATTCTTCTTCATGAGTAAATAGAGGGTGTCCTATGCAGGATTAGGTTTTTATAGGCCCCAACATGAACAGAGGAGCCTGCACAGCAATGCAAATCTGAAGTGCAGCAATAGGGAACATTATGTTCATACTAGTCAGACACTCACAGCCATGAATTAGTCAGTTAAACCTGTTCATCTAGAAACGTCCTTGCCTAGAAAACAGTACTGGTGAGAGAATCCCAATACTTAAGTTGTACACCATACAATACTACACAGTTCACAAAACAATTTCACTTTTTAGCTGGATAACCTAAGCCTGAAGTCCATGAATGCTGAATAGGAGAAGAAATCAGGGACATTCTTTTCTGCACTTTTGTCAGTTATCCATCTAACAGAGAAACCTCACTTTATTAAATATCCTATGTTTCACACCATTTAATATTAAACCACACATTTATTAAATTAATGATTATACTGCCTGGGCTGTTTTTAATAACTGTAATAAGTACTCCTAGTACTGTACTAAGTTAATGATTGGTTACATTCTCTCTCTGCAAGTTATTACAAATTTGCACTGAAAAAAACGATCAATTTGAGGCAGTACTTTCTGCTTTATAAGATAACAGCACTGCATTCCTTGTAAAGTATAACACACACAGAGCAACATGATCTGCAAGTGGGCATCTAGTCAGGCATGGCCGTATGGCCCACAGTTAACAGACACCAACAGTGGCTGAAAAAACATGTGGTCTATCAAAATGACACCAATGATTTTACTGAAATACATTTCACTGGGTATGATATTTCTCTTGTTTCTATCATATCTTGGATCTTTGCCTGGGTATATGTGTTATTACCTGAGCTTGCGTCTGAACTTTCCCCAAGAAGCAGAGTTCAATTTTTAAAACTGTGTGAGTGTCAAACTTCACTCCTGTCACCAACATCAACAAGGCATTCATTCTTTGGTCCACAAATCGCTTCTATAAACAAGAAGTGGCTGTGTGTGCAAACAGGGCTTGGCAAAATGACAATATATATTGTTATCATCATAAATGATGTCATTATAAAATACAACATGCTTTTCTAAATATTGTAGATATCGTCAGTACTTGTAGAGCACTGACCAACTGCATGTTTCATCATACACCTAACTAGTCCTGTTTAACTGGATTTAGTGCAGCACAGTATGCCAAATATGTCTGTTTTCTCTGCTCCAAAAGATCAGATGTCTGGAAAAAAAAATATATATATATATATTGTGACATACTGTGCATTGGAAAATTTCTTTGGGTATCACAATATTAATCGCCCAGCTCTATGTGCAAATATCACACCCAAGTCATGGCTAAAAATTACTGACTTTTTACCTTATTTCACCTTATTCATTAATTCTTTCATAAAATTTGGTCAAAGCTAAACATGGTATGCTACTGAACAAGCCTCTCTCTCATAGCACTGTATAACTCAACAAACAGGAATGAAACCAACAGACACCCTGTGAATCATCACTTAAATACATGTGAAAGGTATACTGAGCCTCAGAATTTTTAAAAGAAATTAAATAACGTTACATTACAGAGCTGCTTTAGCTATTATCCCATAGCGGACAGCTGGGCCTTGCAGATCTGAACAGCTAACATTTATGCCTACTTAAGATGATCGGTCATTCATAAGGCTCAATCACAGCAGGAACTGGACGGCGGCTTATGGAATATCAAATGTGTATTTTTGGAAAGCAGAGCGAAGATACTGATGCTGAGATATTTCACTCTGATTAGACTGAAAAACTCTTCTCAGCCATTTCCTGGTTGGGCATGAAGCAAGAGTCATTACTCATTTAACAAGGAAAAGATGAGCCAGCTATTGGCTTGACTTCTCAATAAGGCACATTTTTGTCTCAACAGCTCCATAAAAATATTTGAAGTAGAACCAGAACACTGCTGCAGCTCCAGAGAGAAACTGCTACAAACTACAACCAGCCTACAAACAGCTATAGAGCCAGTTTAACTCTAGGTTTACAGGCACATGACTCTGAGTTACGGTAATGACGGTAATGGACAAGACTGTGTGTAATTACAATGGCTTTATTTTTAAAGTATCTGAACTAAAGCCAATACCACATATACCATAATGGTGGAAGACGCACACTTTAAACAGTGAATGATGATTTATTTTATCCTCGAGTGTAAATTAAGCATTTTTTCAAATATAAATTGAACTCAAAAGTACTGGCTCTGGCTGCATTACGGTAAAGACAAATTGGTGATGCTGTATTTATGGAAATAAATGCACAAAGCGAAAAAATCTTTAAAAGTCCCAAATATAGCACTCTGTTTCCCTATGAATACATTTAACCTCCTCGTGATTTCGAGCTGAAATAAGCCTTATTTTTATGAGAATCGCCCCAAATGCTGAAAACTGCCTCTCTGTGTCTGTGCGTCCACGTTTGATCGAAGAAAGAAGAACAAGACAGCAGCAGACTAACCGTCCTGCACTCACCACCTCTAAGAGTTCACTGTGAAATGCTGTGCTATTCATTTTGCTAGCTAACGCTAGCCTGGTTAGCGCGCAACTGGCAATTATGCATCCCCTTAAACCAGCTATCCGCCTTTTTCTGTCTTTCCTTCCTTCCAGAGACCGGCTGCAGCGTTATTAGCACTGTTAGCTGCAGCTAACGCAGCCTTTACTCACCAGGGGTCAAACTCGTGGATGATGCTCTCGAATCGGATCACGGCGAAAAGCCTGGAGCTGAAGCCCGCCAGCCAGGCCAGAAACAGGATGGTGAAGGACAGGAGGGACTGCCAGCCCGCCGGCTGCGTCAGTCCGCCGGACAGGCCTCCGCCCCCACCGCCGCATCCAGCCGCGGCGTTGGGTCGCCCGTTGCCCGAGACGGAGCCCCCCGCGCCCGGGCTCGCTTTGTGCTTGCAGTCGGTGGCGGTGTGCTGCTCCGCCATGTTCTGGAGTCGGTCGGTCAGGAAGGCTTTCCCGCGGCCACACGCTCCGCTCCGCCTCGCACTCTCCTCCGCTCGCGTCGGCGTCTTCCTCTTCGCAGATGGTCCCTTCTCCTGCGCGGACACCGAGTATTTCTGCTGAGGATTATTTGAAGTCGGCTCCGGGTCTGAGCGGCATGCTAGCCGGCTTGTAGCACTCAGCGGCGCACACGAGCTCCACCAGTTCCTGCTAGCGATGAACGAATCACGAACGAGTCGTTCTTTTTAACCGGTTCTTTTCAGTCAGTCGGTGGAAATGATTCGCTGAACCGAATCGAGCCTTTTCTGTAACGTCAACACAACATTTAACTATATTTTACAGCTTGTCGATATCTAATAAATATACAGTGATATTTTTATAAAGTAACCTCATAAATGTACAACATACCGTACCCGACAGGAACATATTAAAAACAACCTCTTTAAATACGTGTGCTGTGTGCATAATACTTCTACACAACTTTTCTTCTTCAAAATAGGACCACACAGTGGCATTCAGACATCTTGACAAGTTGTTAAATCTGTAGTATAATATAATTCCATAGTGTGTGCGCTATCCCCTGTGCTCTCGACCCTAACAAATGTACACAAAGCTAAGTGATTTATTCGTATAAGGTCTATAACTCAACAAGTTATGTACCTTCATTCACATAATGTCTGTAAATCTACAGCGCCACTGTATTTGGGATGAGATTACGAGTTAACTTGACCAGCCACTGCGACATGAATCGCTGAACTGAACGTTTGATTCATTGAAACGCACAGTCCTAAAGAGTCGGTTCAGTGAGTTTAATCGATCTTCGCATCACTCGTTCCTCCAGCAGGGAGGGCGGGACGACTGAGCGCATCGGGAAGAAGGTTCAGCCTGTCACAGCGGGACAGGTACGACTATGAAGCTCACCAGCCTGACAGCCTCAACCAATCCTGTGCGAGCACGCAGGTGAAGGGCAGGCAGACTGACCAATGGGGCGGGGACTTCACACCCTGCAGAGTTGTCAAACAGGCTCGACGAGAAGCGCTGAGGGAAAATGAGTGAGTCGCTGTGACAGACGTTTAGTGTGACCAACTGGAGGACAGACGAACAGAAGCAGAGAACCAATTAAATAAATGAATTTTAACTGGAGAGGGAAGAGACCAGTCTGCGGGTTGCTGCCACGGTAGCAAATCTAGTAGGCAAAGACGAGCTACGAGTTATTGGTAAACGGACAGAGAGGCTCTTCCTCGTATTTCGTCTTTACTTCCCCATTTTCCTGTGAATGCACTAACATTAGAGTAAGAGGGTGTGGAGCTGTGCGAGATTTAGAGGGGTGTTTGTGTTCACTGTAGCAACAGAAAACTCACATATTCATATATGACAGGAGCTCACAAGCCTGCGAGAGGAAGTCATCAAGTTGAAGGTGGAAAAGGCTTGAGTAATTGTACTTTACTACCTAAATATTATTTTGGAAAATTTGCACTTTACTTAAGTAATATTAAAAAAGAGTACTTGTACTCCATTACATTTGCAGAAAAAAAAACATACTTTTTAAAGGGCCCATAACACACACACACACCTTCTAAGCCGCTTTTCCTTCTGGGTCGCGGGGGGAGCTGGAGCCTATCCCAGCAGTCATTGGGTGGAAGGCAGGATACACCCTGGACAGGTCACCAGTCCATCGCAGGGCAGACACACAGACATATACATTCACACACACATTCACACCGAAGGGCAATTTAGTGTGTCCACTCGGCCTGACTGCATGTCTTTGGACTGTGGGAGGAAACCGACGCAGACATGGGGAGAACATGCAAACTCCACACAGAAAGGGACCCTGGTCGCCTGGCCAGGGAATTGAATCGAGAGCTTGCTGTGAGGCAAGAGCGCTACCCGCTGCGCCACCGTGAAGCCCCGGGCCCATATCCTACATTTTTAATTGTACTTTATGTTTCATGTATACCATTTATGTGGTTTTATATACCAAAAATGGTCATAATTCATTTTCCATGAACATTTTTCAATCTCTCTTTATTCATTAAAATTAAACAGGCTGTTTTTGTCACTATGCCTTTACGATAATTAGCTGTTCTGATTGGCTGCTCTGTATTGTGTCCTATGCTAAAAGCTCTCACAGCTGAAACACTATAAGTTCAGTATTAATGGGCAGAACTAAACTGTTGTGGGCTGAAAAGGTGGGTACATGTAAATGAGTTTCTTCCCGTTACATCCCAGAAACAGTTCATTTAAAATGGACTGTTTTTGCAGCTTACTTTTCTTATACTGGCTTTGTGGGTAGTGAATGGCATGTTTTGAAATAAATGAGGGAAATTTGGTTTTCTGTGATATGGGCCCTTTAACTCCTTACAGTTTCTTTAGACCTTTTAAGTACAAAGTGCAAATGTCAAAGAGATTTTTCTCTTTTTTTCTTGCCAATCAGTTGTGTTTCTGAGTATTTTAAGTGACTGTTTTTGTTAAATGATTCAATTTCATGTCAGTGTTATATGAAACTGCTCACTTTATTGATTTGTCTTTATGTGAGGACTAAAACCACCAATTAGCCACCGCATTACATTTTTTCTTTTACATTGGAAACAGTGGACTTTGTTGACAGTTTTCTCTCTGCTGTAAATTTCAGGTATACTGTGCATTAGCATAATCTGGCTAGCAGCAAATGGAAGCTGAATGTAATTTAATTAAGTCAAATTGATGTTATGCCCTTGTGCTGACCAGTCCCACTATGTTATGGAGATGGTTGGTGCAGCGTTAAAAGGCTATTTATTTTATTGGTTTGTATTGAGCGGAGGTGGATAAATATTTATACTTAATTTAATACATGAATAGTTTTGGTCCAAAGTTTCATCTTGAGATATTCTTACTTATCAAATAGCTTGCAGCATAGAGATGAGAACAATGTGTTATGCAATTAATGTAAAAGTGCTATAAACAGTAATATAGCACAGTAATACATTCTATGCTATTTATAATATATGCAGAATCATATAAAAATAATGTAAGTTTCTGACAATAGCTCTACACTTGAGCAGGCAGACACACCAACCCCAACCACATCCGGACTCTGTATTTACTTCATTCTAGCCAGCTGGCATTACTTATCCTTGGTATTCTAGTTTTCGTAGTGAATGTCAGTGTAGGGCAATGTGCTTTAGAAAACTGTAACCTAACAGCAGTTTTACATATTCTCATGTCTCTCTGTTCAAGAGCATTTGCACCCTTCCTTAGAAGAAGATACTCAGTATTCAAGATACATAAAAAAGTGGAATGGTCTTTGGAAAGCTGGTGAAGAAAATGAACAGTCTCTTAGAAGTCTTTCTGACAAACCGGTTTGCCTTTCCTCTCTTCTGTGGCTTGAGTAAAAATGTTTGCAATTGCGTACAATCAGATTTTGAATTGTGGTAATACAGCCCTAGGAAATTTACTTAATTATAACTATGGCATCTTCTCCCTGGAGAGCTGGTGATGGTGCTTTTTTAAAGGACCTCTATAATAGAAAACTGACTTTTCCTCACTTTATTAAATAAAAGACTTTGATGTAGTATGTAAACATTGCTTTTAAAACATACTCTTCAGTCCCTGATACGTACAATACATACATGGCAACTAAACTGCAAAAAACAGTTTGCTTTGAATTAATTTACACACACTACATGGCCCAAAGTATGTGGACACATATACATTACACTAGGTGAGCTTGTTGGACATCCCATTCCAAAACCATTGGCATTAATACAGAATTGTCCCCCCCTCACCTTTGCAGCTATAGCAGCCTCCACTCTTCTGAAAAGGCTTTCCAAAAGATTTTGGAGTGTGTCTGTGGGAATCTGTGCCCACTCAGTCAAAAGAGCATTTGTAAGATCAGACACTGGCTTGCAATCGATGTTGCAGTTCATCTTAAAGCTGTTCAGTGGGGTTGAGGTCAGGGCTCTGTGCAGGCCTCTGAAATTCCTCCACACCAAACTTGTCAAACCAAGTCTTTATGGAGCTTGCTTTGTGCACAGAGGCACAGTCATGCTGAAACAGGAAAGGGGCTTCTCCAAACTGTTGCCACAAAGTTGGAAACCTATAATTGTCTAAAATGTCTTGGTGTGCTGTAGCATTAACATCACCTTTCACTGGAACTAAGAGGCCTACTCAAACCCTGAAAATAGCCCTGGCAATCTCCCTCCTCCACCAAACTTTACTGTTAACATTATGCATTCACAATATACAGTGTTTCCCCTGATGTCAGCCAAACACAGATTTGCCCATCAGACTGCGAGATAGTGAGGCGTTTCTACTATTCCAGAGTCCAGTGGCACTGTGCTTTACACCACTCCAGCTGATGCTTGGCATTGCATATTTAGGCTTTTGTGCAGCTGCTCAGCCATGAAAACCCATTTCATGAGCTCCCAACACACAGTTATTGTACTGATGTTGCTTCCAGAGGCAGTTGGAACTCTTTGGTGTGTGATGCAGCAGATAATAGGCGCTGTGCACTTCAGCGGCCCTGCTCTGTGAGTTTGTGTGGTCTACCGCTTTGTGGTTGAGTTGTTGTTGCTTCTAGACACTTCCAGTTCACAATTATAGTTCTTAGAGTTGACTGGGGCAGGTCTAGCAGGACAATAATTTGACAAAATGACTTGTGGTAAAGGTGGCATCCTATGGCAGTGCCACGTTTAAAGTCACTGAGCTCTTCAGTGTAACCCATTCTACTGCCAGTGTTTGTCTATGAAAATTGCACGGTAAGATGCTTGATTTTATCCACCTGTTATCCACCTGTTGGGTGTGGCTGAAACACCTGAACTCAATAATTTGGAGTAGTGTCAACATACATTTGAGCATGTAGCTTATATCCAGACAACTTTGTTTAATATTGCAGAAATTCATATAGCACATTATAAGGAGTATGTCAGCCCATACTGCTTTTTGAATGCGGTACAATACAGGACAGCCAATCAGAACAGAGGTCATTTACAAATATCAGCTTAAAAGACACAGTAACAGAAACAACCTATTAATTCTAAGGATGAATACAGGTTGGAATAAATTGCTTGTTTATTTGCTTTGTATCCATAAACATTTAGAAAACAGGTCAGCCATTATGTGTGGGGAACACAGGTACAGAGGAAGGATACTTTCTCATGGCATCCGTTTAACAATTAACAGTGGATTCTACTTCTGAGAGTGTTGCATGCTATTCACCATCATTCATTTTAACATTTACATTAACTATTCAACAG